TGGTCACAAGCTGGCGGAGGGAAGGTTTAAGTTGGACATCAGGAGGCGCTACTTCACGGTCAGGGCGGCTAGGGTCTGGAACCAGCTTCCATGTGAGGTGGTGCAGGCTCCCACCCTGGGGGTTTTTAAGAGGAGGTTGGATGACCACCTTATTGGGGTCATTTGACCCCAGTGCTCTTCCTGCCATGGCAGGGGGTCGGACTAGATGATCTGCTCAGGTCCCTTCCAACCCTAGAAACTATGAAACTATATGTGGATGGAAGGCAGCCAGAAGTTGGAGCTAGAGCCCCGTGTGCTGGGGCAGAAGCCATTTGGCTGCAGTCTTCTTATCTGGCTGGGCATATGGTGCCTGGCACGCATCCCACAGCCACTGTTGCCTCCCCACACTACCTGCTTCCTGGAGCAGCACAGCCAACGGAGGTGGGGGGAGCCAAGCAGTACCCAGGCAGGTGGGCTGAATCCAGCCCGTGGGCCATATTTTGCCCACCCCTGCCTTAGGCTGATGCAGTTCAGCAGTGATTCAGATATCCCAGGAAGAAGGTTATGAGCTCCTGATACTATTCATAAGGATACGCAGCAGATAAAAATATACGGTTGCAACAGATTTCAGCAAATTGATGCATAGCTACCATTCAGCAGTATTACCAGTTATCCTGATCTGGTTAAAAACAGGTCATCCAGCCAAACAGAAAGAGCAAAAAATAAACTGATCACAGGGGAAGATTCCATTAGAAAAAACAGACACTGAAGTATCGGATACTTCCTTTCTGCTGCTGTAGGCATTCTTTACAGTCCCTACTGCTAGTATCTCCAAGGACGGCGTGAACTTCTTACTCCCTCAATTCCACTTTATAAAAGGGGAAGGGGACCTGCCTTTTGTGGTAAAAAAAAAAATCTCCCTAAAAGAGTCTATAGCAAACCTGCCACAAGAAATATTTGTTTGGCTTTCCCCAAACACAAGCACTTTCCCTCCCTTAAGCTATCTATGCAACACCTGTCAGCTATTTAAGATGCCAGTGGGCTATTTACACTACTTACCTCAAATTTGTCTGGGTTATGCATGCCTGGGATTGACTGCATTAGGTGGGAGGTTGGATGGTTGCCAAAATCAGAGCTCACATAGCCAATACGAAGTCTGCTTTCACTAGTCTTCAAATCCTTTGGATGTTCATATGGTGGCTTGTGAAGGACATTGATCTACCAATAAAATTCCCAAAACGTTTAGTGACATAATAAACCTATAAATACCATCCAGAACACTAAAAACAGACCCCTTCCTGAATGTCTAAGGCCTTCAGATGTGCCCACAACTTGTCTTACC